GTTTTCTATTTAGTTTATTTTTACATATAGGTTTTATTAATTTTAGTATATAAATCTTACTGGTTTAATCGAATACCTAACCGAAAATTATAATATTTAAAACAATTTAATTTGCAATAACCTAACAGCTCATTACTGGTTAGGCTATCTCCGGTGGCTACAAGGGTAAGATATTTCCAAGCTGCTCGATCCGATGCCATCGTTGAGAATATAATATAGAAGCCATTCCTTTTTCCATCGTCTAAACCCACTGTACAAAAAAACTTAGCAACAAGATTTTTGTTGGGAGCACGGCGATTCCCCCTTACAATATTTAGCAAAATTTCTTCGGGAATCCACTACGTTTTTTTGTTTTAATAAATTTCCTGCCACTTCTATTTTTCAGTAATGTTATAAATTCTGCGGTTAGCGTTCTCTTCTTAATTATATCGTTGCGAACCCTCAAACTTGGGTAATTTATTAGTAATTATTAGTAACAACGCAGATATATACAAAAAAGGAAAACAAAATTGGAAATTGTTGTCCTATTACAAAGAAAAATAATATATTAAGTAAAATTTATAAAAGCCCGGTTCATCCGTCGCTCCCACTCCTATTCCCAATAAAAGCTTAAAATGGCCAAAAATGATCTTTTGGGAGTTTAAACTTCATTTGAGATTGGAGAAGACAAGATTTATCGTTCTTAATTCTCGCATAATAAAAGATATATTGTACCTCTTACTTATGAGATATATTTATTCCGTGATATTTTCTAGTATTTTCTCCAATTCTTTTCTCCCTTTTCTTCCTCCTCTTGCTGGGAAAGAGATGTATAACAGGCGCGATGCGGATAACCCACTCATATTTGCAGTTTTCTTCGCCATTCGGCGACACCCATATATCGCAGGTCCTGTTATATGCCCTGAGGTCCTCTGATCAACTATTTTGCCTCCATTTCTCAACAAATTATCCAAAACAACTATATAAGTATTTCTGCTCATTTAATTGCTCGAAATGTGAAATAATGAAGATAAACAGGCGATATGCATACCATTAGAAAGTTAGAAAGTATCTGATTGCAATGTCCACAAGCGCTCTGATATTTCAAGCCGCTAACAATTCATGTGCATGGAGCAGACAGGGAGTCCCTCATTCTTTATAATATAACCCATAACCTAAATAAAAGCAATAAAGCAAAAAACAACCCATCAAACCAGAAAAAATCGAGCGATAAATACCTTATCTGCGAGGCCCTCCACCTCGCTCACCTACCAATACAAATAAAATAATAATTTGCGTCCCAAAAAGGACAAGAATCGATACAAAATTGCAGCCGCAGCCACGCTTTTGTCGGTCCTCAATCGATTAAGAGCAGACCTCACAGGTCCTGTGTGGATAAAATACAAAGACAAGAAGGAGAATGGATAGCGCTATTTACATGTATGGCGACAACAGCGATCCATTTGGAGATAGTAAACAGTTTATCTGCAGAAAGTTTCTTACTGGCATTACGAAAGTTAATGGTAATCCGAAGTAAAACGAGAATGATATTGTCCGATAAAGCGAAGAATTTTATTTTGTCAAAGGACACATTCCAGAATATTTAAAGGAATATTACCGAGGAAGAGATCGAGTGGAACTTCATCCGTAAATATGTCCCATGGGCGGGGGCGTATGTGAACGATTGATTGGTATAATGAAAACAACGCTGAGAACTATGACTGGAAAACAAACAATGGACGATGAGATTTTTCGAGCTATAATATACGAAATAGGAGCAATTGTGAACGACCACTGTGCTACTGTATAAGAAATAGTCTCGAATATTTACACCAGAGAGACTTATTGTTACAACGACCATCTAGGACACTTCAAGCTGGGAATATTTATAAGGAACTCGAATTCACGTGAAAGTACACAGAGAAGACTTACTGCGGAACTGGGCAATCGACATGAAATATTTGGATTATTTTTTGGAAATTATGGCAGAGACGATATCTGCAAGGTTTATTAGAGCCACGAAATATGCATGCACGAACGAGATCGATGATACTTCGTTAACCAAAAGAGGAGAAGCTTTCATTTTAAACGACGCTACGCCCAGAGCTCAATGAAGACTAGGAAGAATTAAGCCAAAATTCCGATGGCAAAATACGATCGATTTCATTGATACTGACTAACAACTGGAAAACGAGTCGACCAATCAACTTAATAACTCCAATAGAGATAATTGACGACGTCGACAAAGAGGAACGATACGAATTTAGCGATCAAAAGCCTCTCCAGGATCATGCTCAAAAAATAAGCAGAATCGATTGAAGACCAAAAAAATCGCGGCTGCAACCGCAATTTTGCATCGATTCTTGTCCTTTTTGGGACAAAAATTATTATTTTATTTGGTAGAGCGGCGGGGGGCTCGTAGATAAGGTGTTTATCGCTTGATTTTTTCTGGTTTTCTGGGTTGTGTTTTTCGTTTTGTTGTTTTTGTTTAGGTCATTGGTTATATTATGATGTATATATCGTTATTTAATATCATTGTTGTAATTATATTGTTATCTAAATAAAGGTTTAATTACTCAAGTACCAGGTACGCGGCAACGATCGAGTTACGACTACGATACCTTTTTTAACAAAAAGGGATAGCGACTCAAAATTTAAACGCGACACGAAACGAGCCATAATTCCCAAAAGTGTGTGATTATCTTAGTTTCCTTCGACCAATTTTCAATGATTTGATTCTTTGTATCCTTGCGTACAGAAGATAGCAATATGATTTTTTCGAACGAGGGCGATTCCTCCAATACTCAATTTCACAAAATTCCTACGGGAATCCGCTTTACTGTGTTTATTTATAGATTTAATAAATTTTCTGCCACGCGACTTTTATTTCTCAACGATATTATAAATTCTTCTGCCAGCGTTCTCTTAATTATTATCTCGCTGCGAATGTTTGGACCACCTCAAACTTGGGTAATTAAACCTTTACTATTAACAATGCAAATATATACAAAGAAGCAAAACTGTTGTCTTATTACAAAGAAAAATAATATAGTACGTAAAAAACCGAACATAAAAATATATAAAAGCCCAGTTTACCCGACGCTCCCACTCCTATTCCCAATAGAAACTTAAAATGGTTAAAAATGATCTTTTGGGAGCTTATACTTGATTTGAGATGGTAGGAAAGAAAATTTATGGTTCTTAATTTTCTCATAATAAAAGATATATTGTACCTCTCACTTATAAAATATTCTATTATTATTCCGTGGTATTTTCTAATATCTCCTCCAGTAATATCTATTATCTTTTCTAATATCTATTTTTTCTCCCTTATTTCATTAATTCTCTTTCTGAAAGAGATATATAGCAGGTGCGATGCAGATCACCTGCTCCACTTTGCAGCTTTCGCCATTTGACTACACCTTGCTTTCTACTTCATATTTCTTGTCTGGACCGTGTTTTTCTTAAAATCCATGGTCGAAGAAAATCACAACGAACAGATTTATCTCGAAAAGAAGAGATAATCGAAAAAAACAGTCGCGGCCAAATTTTAGCTGGTGTTGGTCAATTGATTTGTCGATTGAAATTATTTGCCTTATATGACCTACTGAATAGTATTCTGCTCATTCTTGGGCACAAATATGAAGTCACTTGGGGATAGAGCTATAGGTGGGTCCCCAACAGCCACTTGTATTTCTAATATGACAAGTTTGCTCCTGTAGAATACAAGGATAAAATAGAAAAAGTTAAAAAAATTAAATTAAAAATTAAAAAAAATTAAAAAATTTCAGGAAAAAAGTAAGCTTAAAAAAACATCGTTTGGGGTGCCCAAATAAAGAATTCTAATAATTAATAATCCTTTTTATTTTTGTATATCACTTCTTAGCAGAGTGTTAGAAGATCCGATCGGTCATAGAAAATATCAAATACTCTTTTGACATATATATTTATATAAATTAAAAAAATAAAATTTTAATAATTTTAAAATAAGTAAAAATTAAGTAAAATTGACAAATTGAGACGGGAGTTTAGGTTATATAGGTGAAATTAAGTTTTTATAAATAAGCTTGCTATTAGGAAAGGACTATGTTTATAATATTTCTGGAGTCCTTACTTGATTTTTGGTATTGTACTTAAGAAACCGTCCGAATTCTTTACACATTTTGTTTTTAAACGACCGAAAAATAAAATTTGGGATTCTTGAACTTTTTTACTGTGATTTTGGAGTTAAAATCGACATCAAAATTTTCATCTACGACTATCCTAAGAGATAGTCGGAACTCGTTTAATTATGTTGCTATCAATAATGAGATTAGAGAGATTAAATCCTTTCGAATTTATTTGTAACCTATACTTTTAAATGGAAAGGGTAATCTGCCTTCCATATAGCCAGTAAAAAATTATAATGAGGTCATCTTGAAGTGTAGACAAAATCAATTCGATTCGTCATGAGTTTACAGAAAACACTTGGAGCTCGATCCCTACTTCTAGTGCATATTTTTCTTAAAGTTTCTTCGATAATCCGCTCCATGCGCGACTTGTACTCACTTCCAGCCACGCGGTATTTTTTAACTAATAAAATTATATGTTCTTCGGCCAGTATTCTCCTTATAAATATCTAACTGCGAAGGATCGGACTCTTATACTTGGGTAAATCGCTTATTCAATATATATATATATATATATATATATATATATATATATCTAATTTATGTTCACATAAAAAAACTAAAAAATATTATAAACTGCAATAAGATGGGTTATATCGGAAAAAGAATGCAACTGCGACTGAATAAAAATATTTATTAAAAAAATACAGTTTACGATAATAAATGAAAAATGTTTAACAGATTCGAAATAAAAGCGAATGAGTTAAGGAGAGTAGTTATGACCATAAAAAGGTGAAGCAAGGTGAAGGCGAGTCGCTCGTTAATTCTCCAAAAAAAAAACAAATCCAGCACTGGTCCGGAGCCATACATTATCCATTTGGGTGCTTCTTATAGACATTAGTAGATCAAAAATTATATTAAAATTAGTTTATTTTTATTCAAAAGGAAATTTTTTAAAGTATACTGAAATAGCGACTGAGAAAGCGTCTGAGAAAACATGAATTCTCGTAAATTGTGATGGATCGATTGCAACACATATATTGGCCATCCGCATATAATATCTTTCCATATTTTCTGATCTTTCATACTTATTGATTGGTCCCCTTCCTTTTTTCCGATTTTGAAGAAATAGTTTGATCGATATTGTACTTGGTAATAGGAATCATATTGAGAAGCTAAGAACTGCAATATCGTTCTTTTTGTTGGTTCTTGATCATTCTGAGGTTTTAAGGTTATTTGAATAATATCCCTGTCAGGATTCCATTTAATACCAAGAATCTTTTTAAACTCACTTGTCCTATTTAGGAATCTTCGAATTCTCTGTCATTTGATAAAAATTCCCAATCATTCATCGAGGCATTGTTAAAAATGATTTTCATTTGTTGATATTTGTGTTTCATCGGTACCTTTGGTTGATACTGTGGTGTTGTGACATAGAGATTTTTTCTAATCTTGTTGGCGAGCTTATTAAAATACAAAGTGTTTTTTTAACCTGCATATTAATTTTTGTTTTCTAGTTGTGTATTTGCGGAGTTAAAGCTGTCTAGAAACTATCGTAGATTAATTTTACCTTTAGCTAGTTTTTGCTACTTCATGATGTCGAGAGATGTAGAGTTAACTTCTAGAAATTTCTTCATTTCTTTGAATCAATTTCGCTAAGAACTGTCATAATTTAGCTACTGACCATATTTCTTGTTCCTCTCGTTGTTGATATACTCTATCCAGAATCTAGGCTGGCAATTTATTTTCAATGATAATTTCAACACTGGATTGTTCAAGGTTTTCGCCCATTGCTTCAAGTTGTCGAAGTATTCTTTCGATAGCTTCTACCGTTACTTTCCATTCTCGGTTATTCTTGATGGGATTTAACTCACTGTAGAGCGACTTTTTAATGATATGTGATTGCCCAAATTTTTCAATAAGGACCTTATTATATCATAATTTTCTGGGGTTATATCATAACCTCTGATGGCCGACAGAGCTTCTCCCTTTAAGCATGCAGTTAAATAATTTAATTTTTGGATGTCTGGTATGTTTTGTAAATGAACAGCAACTTTAAAGCCAGAATCTTCTCCATAGTTTTGGATTTCCACTGAAGGTAAGCAGTTTTTAGTGATCAAATGGTTCGTCGTTTGTACCCAAGCAAACTAGGAATTTCTTTTATTATAACATAAATTATAAACGATTAAGTTTAAGATAAAAATTAAGATGAAAATTAAAAGGTTTACAAAAAGACGGAGTTTCTCGCATAAACAATTTAAACAATTTTGCAATGAATCTATTCTATATATATTATTTTCATTTGCAAAAAAACATTTTAGTGTGAATGGCATGTAGTCCATAATTAACAGATGTATATTACAAAAACTATAGTTATTGGATTATGTCTTAATAGATGTGAGATTTTGTATGCTAAATTAGTTTTTTTGGGTATACAAAAAAGGAATTGGAATTCGAGAATAATAATAAGCTGATTCTCAGCATTTATTTGAGAGATTTATTTTATATGTTTTTTGTGTTCGCTTCCTGCCACACTGTAATCTATTTGGTTTAATCGAATCTTATTTTTCCTGACTATATATTAATCGGTTTAAATACCCAAGTTTGAGGTGGCGATTAAATATTTTTATTAATACATGCGGTAATAATCAGTATTTATTTTACTGAGAAAACAACCGGATCAAGGTTATTCTGATATAAATAACGCGTGACAAGCGAGCATCATCCCACTGTTTCCAGTCAATAATTTATTAATCTATTTTTTACGATATCTAAGAGTGCAATAATCAAAGAATCGATTAAGATATTGTTGTGTCGGTTTGAAATAAAAAAAACATCGCATTTCGCGACTGTCGACGCCAAAAAGGCAATGAACCAAAATTTTTTAAGCCTCTGGAATATCATTAGAATTTCGATTGTTGGATTCGAAATTTTCGGGCTTTCGGAATAAGGGATTTTTATTTTTTGGATCTTGTTTTAAGAAAAAAAATTTTTAGAAGGACATTTTATTTCTCTTCTTGTCACTCTTGGTAGTAATCTATCTTCAATAAGAATTAAAATGGAAGTATTATTAACATCTTCGCCAAGTTTCGCCATATGTCTCAAAATTCTTTCAATGTTTGCTCTAAGCAATCGAATGTCCTGATTCTTGCGAGAATCTGCTTTAATTCATGATGGAGTGTTGCAAAAATTATTTGTGAGTTGTCGTATCGGTCCTCAAGAATTTTCCAAACTTCCTTATATGATTATCAATTTGGAAGCCTTCAACCAGTTGTTTTACCTCTCCATCTAGGCACGACATCAAATATTTTAGTCTATCGACTGATTGTAAATTGATTGAATTGATTGAGAACAAAAAACTGTCTCTAAATGAGATGTGTTGAACGGCTCCATTAAAACGATATGGTTGCAATTTGGGGAATTGTACTATTTGAATATTTTGTTGGAGTTCAGTGAGGAGGGATTAAGAGGGAGGGAAGAGTTCTTCAATTTTAAGCTTAAAATGTTTTATTGATGTATCTAAATCAATACTTGTGATTTTTGCTTTTAAAATTAATTGAGAATAGTTTTGTTTTTCTTCTGCACAGTTTATGTAATCTTTGGGACCCCATTTTAAAGACCAACATAAGGTCGCAAATCTTTAATAAATGGAAAAACCGAGGGTTGGGCTCATCCTTAGGGAGATCTCTAATGCTTAGACTATCAATTTGTTTTAAGAGGAGGATAAGTTCCTCTTTATAATGGTCAGCGACCTTTTCTATTACACAAATCATATTTATCATATCATATTTAGAAATAAAATTTTAAAATAAGTGAACCACAATTAATGTAACGAATAAAAATTATGACTTAAATATAAAGATTTGATTTGACAAGTTAAATGGAAATAATATTTAAAATCAAATACTGCAGAAGAAAATTCTTGACTGGATTTGTCCTTGATTGGGATTGAATTTGCCTTTAGGAGCAACGACTTGATAGGTTCGAAATTGAAATTTAGACGGCGTTGATGAAATTTGGGTTATTCTTTATAATAATTATTTAATAATTATATAATTATTAATAATTATATTATAATTATTTTTATTTTAAAAAATTAAAGACTGCTCTTTTTCGGTTGTCGAATCCAAAATACCAATAGCCAATACCAATACCAATAGCCTGTGGTTCTGGAGGTTCGACGCACCATGTAAAAAATAGATTAATAAAATTATTGGTTGGAAGCAGTGGGATGATGCTCGCCTGCCACGCGTTAATTATAATAGATAACCTTGATCCGACTGCTTTATCAGGACAGTAGAAAGAGTAAGAACACTGAGAGAAAGAACACTGATCATCGCACGTATAATAAAAATCTTTATTCGTTACTTCAAACTTGGGTAATTAAACCCAAATAGATTAAAAGGCAAAAGAAAAAGGAAAAGAATAAAGGGGCAAAGGACACATTAAACGAATGAATGTTTTAAACAATAATATCAGTATCGAAATATTAATATTGGGACCCAACTTGGGTCCCTTAATGGTGTCTAACAGAAGCAGAAGCATGATATGGAGCCTAAAAGAGAGAAAAGATTGATATGACGCCTTAAAATGCAGAAGAAAGATTTTTATAAGTACACAATATATACTGTAAATTATGTTTTATTGATATCTAAAGTGCAATAATCAATTAAGAAAGTTTTCATTGGCCTGTCGATTTGAAATAATAAATTTGAAATAATAAAATAAAAAAACATCGCATTTCGCGACACTACTTTTTTTGGAGTCAATTTTAATAAATCTTCCACTTAAGTATAAATAAGCATGATAAAATAAATAAACTATCCCTTAGCGTAGTAAAATATAAATATTAATTCAATGAAAGCAATAATTGGCAGGACCGCATACGATTGCGACAAATGTAATATTTCATAACGTATATAAAGTATAAATGCAATTTTCGGGAAAGATGATATTTTCATAAAGAAAATGAGCAAAGACTATAACCAACAGATCAAAATTTGGTAAGGTCAAACTTTAAACTGCAAAATTCGAATTAGGATTGATTTACCAACAACCAACAAAAAAGACTTAATAAAGATGAATTGGTAAAGGTAAAGAAACTGAAACAAAGTATTTTTAAGTGATTTGTGTTTAAGTTGTTCTAAAATATTTATTAATTAGAACGACAAAGAACAGCCTAATCGTTTTAATAAAATTTCTGTTCTGGAAATTCATACCCTTTATACCCTTTAACTTTTTCTGCTCTCCAGGATGATTTATCTTATCTATTCAAATATTACAACCGAACTTTACCTTGTTACTCAATAATCGTCGGAAAAAACCGAAAGATTTAATTATAAAAAAAACACTTGAACAAAGGATTTTTTACAATAATGAGTCAGCTACTTAATATTCATATAAATCATAAAAAATTCACATTTATCTAATTTTAAAAGAAAAAAAACCACTTTGTTTATAAATTTTAGATACAGCTGTGAAACAACTGTATCACTGAAAGAATAATAATAATTTCTACATAGTTTTTATGTAATTAGCATAATATTGTAAGTTCAATTCACAAATAGAAAAATAAACTGAATGAACAGAATCGATTCGAGGTGCTTAAAACGAAGTTGGAACAGTACTTAAAAAAAAAAAAAACGACTAACGGGAACTTGAACAGTCTTTTCTCTAGAAACAGAATTCAACGCGACATTCTCCTTCTTCCTTAACCCTACTCGTCTCCATGACCCAAATATTATATTGTAATATATTGTTGCTATAATTCAATGGTAAATAAAATTTTTCCCTTTCGTCTCAAGACAACTTTCACGACAATAGTAGCTCAGAGGACCTCAAATTCATAATTTATAATTTATTTCTCAAGCAATATATAGGCAGGACTAAATACAATACTTTTTTCCCAATAGTTTTCAAGACTACTGGTTCTGCAGACCACAAAAGGTAATCTGAGGGATGCTATTTAAATTTCGTACCGAGTCGTATCGATATTCGCAGCAGGTCTCCAAGGTGAACAGTCTCTAACCGATAGAATAATGTAGATAAAGGAAGTCGGCAAATCCATAACTTATATAACTGACTTGGATGGGCTATTACGTGAAATATGCTATAACTGAATCGAAGCAGTGTAAAACTATTTATAATGCAGTGGTATTTTTCTTCCTTGTTTTCATGAAATGATTTTTTGATTTTTTTGAAATTTTCAGAAAGAAAATTGGCTCATTAGTAAATAAATTTTGAATTTTATATTATAAAATGAATATCATCAAATATCATAAAATATAAAATAACAGAAGAGGACTTAGCAGAAATGCTATATTAGATGGAAAATCTGAAATAAACAAAATAAATAATTTAATTATGAGTCCCGATCGTCATTCACAGAAAAAATAGAATAAACCTAATGGGACGATGGAAAAATAACTTAAAGCATTCGCCTAAATCAAATTGTTCACGAAAATTTGGATAAGGTGTATGAAAATAAATATATATTTC